GCATGGTCTTTGAGAACGAAATATAGCCAGTAAACCCCAAGTTAATTAGGTAGGTTTTAGCCATCAAAATTTAGCTTCCTTTGGGCAGAATACCCTCAGGTAAAGCTATGTGCTAATTTATGTTTAGAGGATAATAATCTCTACCTATTTTGAGGTCTTGGAATATAGCTGTTTTATTTTAAAGATTCTCTGTGGAGACAATTTTGTTAGCTTTATTGCTTAAATTTTTTCAATAGAATTTTGTTTCCAGTCCTTTTTTTCGATGCTTTTAGGCAGAGTTATTCTTCATGACTTCAGGATGTCAGTTCTGTGAACTTTATTTTTCCTACTTGTCTAGCACATCTACTCTCCGAATGAAATTAGATTTTGTCTTAAGATTTTTATTTATCATAACTGGCCAAGAGGAACAGTCTTGGTCATGATTGACACACTCTTAATGAACACTTTCTTTGCTTGAAACTGGTTTGACTCTGGTCCTTTGTGGTGATGGCTCCCTATGATTTAAACGTGTGCAGCACACTGACCTTGCATAGTTAGCATCTGATATTTTACAAAGTCTGACAGGTTGATGGGATTTTAAATATCAGATGGAAACCTTAGTCCTACAATTTACCTTACTGAATAAATACTGAAAGCCAAAGAGGAGGTAGCCTTGTTCTGCTATAGAAAAAGCTACAAAGGTTCTTCCTTTAAAAAATCCAGTCAAATACTTGTTTGAGTTGTATTTTAAGTCTTTCAGTTTAAAATCTTATAGATCTAGGCTGTGTCCAACCAAGCAAAGCAGAAAGCCAGGCAATTATCTTTTTAAAAAAGATTTTGATACCTTTTGCTTTTTTTTCACCAATTATTTCCCAATATCCTTGTTATCCTCCAAAGAATCTACCCTTATTTTTAACAATAAATTTTTACATGCATTTATAATCTCTCTCCCACTGCTCCCATTAAACATACAAAAAAACCCAATGAAAATTAAAACTCTCATAATAAACATGCATAATCCAACAAAACAAATTCCCCCACTAGCACACCTGAAAATGAATGTCTCTTCATTTTAAGTTTATCACTTCTCCAGCAGGAGATAGGGAAGTGGTGCGCTTCAGCTTCAGTCTTCTGGACTCGTAATTTAGCATTGCTTTGTTCTAAAGTGTAAAGTTCTAGTCTTACGGCATATATTCCATTACACTAATATGCCATTTTTAAAAAAGCCATTCCCTAATTGCAGGATAGTTCCTTAGTTTCCCATTTTTGGCTACTATAGAAAGAGTTGTTATACTTTTGTACATATAGGTCCCTTTCCTCTTTCTTTGATCTCTGGTGTAAAAGCCCAGTTGCTGGATAAGTACAGCTCCACAAATAATGCATTAGTGGGTCTGTTTTTACACAGCAAGTCAGTCAATAAACATTTATTAAGCATTTACTATGAACTATGCTAAGCACAATTTCTCCAACTTAACATTTTTTGCTTTTGTTATCATTGCCAGTCTGATGTACGAAGTGGAACAGAACTTTAATAGTTAAGCAAAACCAATCTACATTGTTCAGTCTCCATGACCCCTTTTGGGGTTTCTTGGCAAGGGTACTGATGGAGTTTGCCATTTCCTTCTCCAGCTCATTTTTCAGATGAGGAAACTGAGGCAAACAGGGTTAAATGACCTGCCCAGGGTCACACAGCTACAAGTGTTCTGAGGTCAGTTTTGAAGTCAAGAAGATGAGTCTCCCTGACTCCGTGTTCTATCCACTGTGCCACCTAGCTGCCCTGACACACACAGCAACCCTGACAATGTGAGATACTTCATATCTAAAAATCTTCCCTCCTTTTACCAAGAGGAAGGATGTTTATATGATAAATATGGATACAGACCACTGCTTTTAATCTGAATATAGATATCTTTTAGTGTCATTTCCATACACATTATGTATGTATATCGTATGTATATGTTCTCCTTGTTCTTTCTTCCTTTTACATCAGCTCATGTTTTCCTATGCATCTCTGTACTTTTATACTTGTCATTTCTTATGGTGCCATTGATTATATTTTATCACATTCATTTGCCATAATTTGTTCAGCTATTCCCCAATCAGTACTTGGAGTATCAATTTTTTCTTTGCTACTACAAAAGGTATTGCTTTAGATATTTTGGTATATGCAACATATTTCTTTTTGTCAGCTATCATCTGAGAGACAGCATGTCACGTGGGGATACAGAGCCAGCCCTGGAATCAGAAAAACCTGAGCTCAATTCTCACTGTTGTCACCTATTGGCTGTGACTCTGGGCAAGACACTTAACCCCTTGGTGTTCTATGCACCCAAGAGAGAGGTTCTTAACTTGGAGTTTCTGAATTTATTAAAAAAATAATATGACTGTATTTCAATTTAATTGGTTTCCTTTGTGTTTTTATGCATTTTAAAATTATTCTGAGAAGAGGTCCATAAGTTTCAATAGGCTGACAAAGGGGTCCATGATACCAAAAAAATGTTAAGAATCCATAATTTGCAGATCTACATTTGCTTTTATTTTTGGAACTAGTGTACCCATCTCCCCCTCCCTCCCCTTTAACAGAGAGGAATGATAGTAATAATGGCCATTTTTAAAAAGGCTGAATGAATTAATCTGTTATATTAGGTGCTACAGAGTAACTAAAAAAAAAAACCTTGATTAAAGGATTTCAAATTATTTTTCTTTTGCTTTCACCAAACGCATATGCCTCAAGTTAGTTTTGTTTGCCATATGAAAAGTTCTCGAAGGAATTGTTTGTACTTGCATAGAATAATGGTGGTTCAGTGAGTCAACAGGAAGGAAAAATCTTTGTGAAAAAAATCTGATAACTAAACATCTCAAGAAATTACCTTAAGAAATAACTAGCCTATGATCTGTGGTTAGACTGAAAGTAAAGTGAAGTGCAACGTTTGTATTATTGGCTGGGGTTTTCAGACTTTGTCACAAAAGATTCGAGACTATGTTGTTATTACTTCCATAAAGCACATATTTATTATACCTACTATAGAAGTCATAGAGACAAAACAATTAAACAGTTCTTGCTCACAAGAAATTATGTTCTATTGGGGAGTACATGTTGTATGTGACTTGCTGTGGAAAGGGCAAAAAAAAAAAAGTAAAATGTACTTGAAGTATCTATGATCTCATGTTCCCTCCAGTTATTCATACTTCAACTAAAAAAAAGAAATGGAAATTTAATCACCAGAGATTTAAGCATCCAGAGGTATCCTGAATCAATGTTGCTCACTTCACTGAAGTTAGACAAGCACCCTTTCTTGTCTTCTGGGGGTGTAAACTTCTTTATTGCTGGTGACACTTTATTAGTTGTATATGAGTGTTTCAAAGCAGTTACAGACTTCTTTGGTGTCCTCGTGTACAACGGTTCACACGTCACAACCCACCCTTGGAGATGCTGTCATCTCAAAGTTCTAAACTTTGCTTCGGTTTGGTTGTGCTCCTATTCTGGGTTACCTAGATTTCAGAGTTCGGTAAATAGAGATCACCGCCAGAAACAGGGCTGCGGGAAGGAAAGCAGCGGAGCTTCTGGTCTTTGAATGAAGTAGGTCTTGGGAACCGCGGAGCGCAGACAGGAGGTTCGGGGATGCGGGGTGGAGCACAACCACCCACTGGCTGGGGAACGAGGGAGGGAGCAGGCACGTGAAGGCCCGAGGGGCTGGGGGCTCTCGGACGCGGCGGTAAACAATTAGGTCCTCGCGAATTCTTGGTATTTTATACAAAACCTCAAGTGTCTCTCCACCCCCCCCCCCCGACCGCAAAAAGAACCCCGGGCGGGGGCGGGCAGCAAGCCGAGGCTGAGGACCTGCGGCTCCGCTCCCTCCCCTCCCCACCCCGCGCAGTGGTCGCCGGGTCAGCAATGGTGGCCGGCGGCTCAACCCCCACCGCAGGCCCCTGGGGTGCACGTGAGCAGCAAAGCAGGCCACATGGGGCGCCTTTGGGCTCGGGTCCCCCCCGCTGGGCGGTTGAGGCGCCGGTCCTGGTCACTTCCTGCGGGAAAGAGGCGGGACAACTGTTGCTCCCCGTCTGACCCCCGGGAAGAAGGGAGAGGAATCCCTCAAGGTCACACACACGCGTGTCCCTGGGAGACAACGTTCCCCCTCCTCGCTCCGTCTCCACCCCGGCCTCCTTCAGTTTGGGCCCCTCCTTCACGCGGGAGTGTGGCGTGGCGGAGTCCTGAACTTTACGAGCCCCATTCTCCTAACCCTTTCTGGGGGTCTCGGCGACTCAGGAGCTTCGGTTAGCGACTGGGGCTGGCCAGAAGCGCACGAAGGCTCCAAGTCCTGGGCTCGAAAACCCAATACAATGGCCCGAGGTCCCCGACCCCCAGCTCCTACCCCACTACCTCCTCCTCCTCATCCTCCTTCACCTCCACCTCCACCCCAGCCTGGGCTTGACAGCGGGGCTGGTCCTGACCCCCGCGGGCCCCCGCCGGCGCTCCGCCCCTTCCGCCCCGCGCCTGCGCTGCCCAGGGTGAGTGTGTGAGGGAACGTGTGTTGATGGGAGGGGCTGCCCTACCCCCTTTCCCCGGGATCCGCTCACTCTTGCCCCAACGTGGGGGTGTTGAGGCTACTCTAGCCCTCAGGTCCCGCCGGTGAGAGGCCTGGCCCTGGGCCTGCTGGCTTTCCTTTAGAAGCGGGGTAGGCGAGGAAGCCGCCTCCGCACCCCTTACTCCAGGGAGGGGGCGGTGGGAGCCGCCGGCCGCCCTGCTCCCCTTTCCCGTGTCCCCCTTGCTCTCCTGAGGGGAATGGTGTGCCCCGCAGGGCGCGCGCTGCTCCCGCGCTTTGGCCGTTCTGAGAGGGAGGGGGGAAAGAAGGAGGAGGAGGAGGAGGAGGGAGGGAGGAGGGGGGAACCGGACCCCGATTCGTAAAGACTCCGCCGGGACCGGACTACCCGGGCCGTATAAGCCGGGAGTGAAGTCGGGGTGCGCGCGGGCCGAAGTGGGCCTCGCTGGGGGGGTGGGGGGTGGGTGGGGTTGGGGTGGGTGCCATCGTTGATTCTTCCGGATCCAGGGAAGCCAGCCGAGCCGCCGGGATCATGTCGGACGAGGAGTTGAAAGTTCCCGAGGAAATGTTCAAAGAGGTCAAATTTTACGCGGTGGGAGACATCGATCCCAAGGTACCGCATCCGCTTACTCTGCTCGGCTCCTCTTCCGTTACCTCCTCCACTCCCCCCTCCCACCCGCGACCCACTCCGGGTGGATGTGTACCTTCCTTAACACCTTCCACCCCCTCTTGCTCCCCCTCCCCCCTCCTCCTCCCCCCGTCTGCGGCCGTACCATTGTCGAGGTGGTCTCGCGCCGGCCTGCCCGGGCTGGGGAAAAGGAGGCTGGTCTCGCGCCGGCCTCGCGCCGGCGCAAGGGGCCCCTGGGTGGTTGAAGGAGGAGGGTGAGCGCGAGGGCCGGGCTCGCGCCTGCTCCGCGCTCGCCGGCGGCCGGGCGGGGGGGAGCGGGCTGCGGGCGAGGCGAGGCGAGGCGAGGTTCTCTCCTCTCGCCGCCGGCTCGGGGGCTCGGAGGAGGAGGAGGCGCTGGAGGAGGAGGGGAGCGGACGGGGTCACGCTGGCGCCGTGGACTGCCCAACTCGGGGAAGGGAACGGGAGCGTTTGGGGGCGAGCCGGCTGTCCCTGACTGGTGGAGGCGGCGGCGGCGGCTTCTGCGCAGCAGCCGCCTCGGGCCCGGGGGTTGCTTGGCGGGGCTGCCGCGCCTCTCGGAGCGGGCAGGGCAGCTCGGGCCTAGCTGTCCCCCGCTGCCGCCTGACGTCGCGCTTTGGCGGGGGAACCCGGCGCTCTGCTCGATAGTGAGTAGCTCTCCTGTCTCCGTGCGCATCTGCCTCGGACTTCCAGTGAAACCTGTGTGGGGATGCCCGGGGATCCCGATCGGAGGAGCCTCGTCCTTCCCAAACGGGCCGTGCGGCTCTTGCGGCTGCCTAGACGGCCTCGGGGGCGGGACGGGACTGAGGGAGGGACGGGGGTCACCGGCCTAGCTATGGCCCTGACTCGGGCACAGTCTACAAGTGGGAGCACGGGTTTGCGCTAGGCCGGGAGCTTTCTCCGGGGTAGGGGTTGTTAACCCGAGGGCCGGGAACTTTTTGACTTTAATGGTAACTATTTCAGTGCAATCGGCCTCTTTGGTAACCCTGTGTATTTTATGCGTCTAAAAATAGTCGCTTTACCTGACTGTCAGAGAGGTGCATGACAAAGAAAGGTGAAGGACCCCTTCCCTAGGGACTGCTGTCAGTCTTGTCAGCTATCTTTTATCAAGCTCCTACAGTGGTGGGGGCACCCTGCTAAGGTGTACAAAGAAAGGGAGAAAACAGTCCCTGCTCTCAAGGAGCTCACAAGCTAATGTCAAATCTATAGGTGCCTTTATAAGGATAGGATGTATGTGTTTTGTCCATGTAGATATATTATATATATATATATATTTATATGTATGCCCTTGTAGCCATAATTTAGCTAGCTAAAATGAATTTGGATGTATTTTCTTGCTTAAAAGCTATGAACCAGATTTTACAGATAATTAGTGGCTGTCAGATGGCAAAAAGAAAAAAGCTACTTTCACTGAATTTTAGTATTATAGATTCCTTTATAAACAAATGTTTTGTTTTTTTTTTAGAAATAAATGTTATGGTCCAGTTAAGAAGTTTTAAGAAAATACTCGAAATTTAACACCACCAGCTTATTACTAAATAGATGATTATTGGAGTTTTATTCCATACATAGAGAAATTGAATTATTATCCAGTTTTCTAAATAATTTATCCTCATTGTTAAAAGGTCATGATAAGGCTGTTACCAGATGATTTCATGTGATCTCTTCCAATTTTGTTCCCTTATTTCTTGAAATAAATTTTTTTTGCAATTTATTTTGTATAGATTTCTTTGGTGTAAAGAGAAAGACAAGACTCTTAACTTCAAGGACTTGACAGTTAAAACCATTTAGATGCAGGGTGCATAGTTACTGAAAGAGAATTGGAAAGGAAGAAAAAGGAGGAGTTGTTGGAATGACTGATGGTTATATTTTAATGAGAATTATGTTTCTATCATAACTTCTTGTAACAATTTACCCTTGGGTGAAGAGTGCCGCAATTAATTTGACTTTATCTTATGAAGTAGATTCAGTATGCTTGTGTTTTGTGTTTTGTAGTTTCCTTGTATCATTAACTTCTTAAAATTACAGATTAATACTTCAAGTTTAAAGATTGGATAGAATTATAAAAATTACTAAAGTTGCATTTATATGATGCCTGTAAATACAACCATGTATCACTTTATCTCATTCAAAAATAAATGTGGGGGTGAAAAGTACCACATAGAATGCCACAGGAAAGAGGAAAAAATAGAATATTTTAAAAATAAAACGTAAGGGAAATTTAGTAGTTACCTTTGATAGGAATCTTTCAGAAAGGGTAGAGAAAACTTTTATCATGTAACTTTCTTTGTCATTACAAGTATAGTGAGTGTTTTCATCTTGTTACTTTTATTAGAACTTTCACATTTATTTTAAAGGCACATTAAGGAAGCATGGTACAGTGGAAAAGAATACTGTATTTGGAGTTAGAGTTCATGGGCAAATTACTTCTCTTTGGCCTCAGTCTTCATCCATAAAATGAGGAGGTTAGATTAGATAATCTAGCTCTAAATCTGTGATCCTAAAGTCTGGTTGAAACTTTGGAAGATTTCATATGACCTTATGTAACTTTAATTTTTAGAAGTTCTTTTGGTTTCTTGGTTTCAGTGAGGTTGCTAACTTAGATTTTTTATATTAAAATTTTTTTTCAATTGTCAGGTTTTCATTTTTTTTCCTCTTACATTCCTTCTCCCCCATCTCAAAGGGAAACAAAAACAACTAAACAGTCAAACAAAACAAATTTCCACATTGGAAGTGTGGAGAAAATATGTGATAACTTCTGATTTGAAAGTTGGTGCTCATGAGATTTGAGAGGTGGAACTTAGAAATAATAAATTGTTCCTCATCTGGACACTGTACCTTGTATATAATAGGGATAAATACAATTTTGAATTGAATTGAAGAAGGTAATAAACCCACAGTACTGTCTGACCACAGTAAAGTGCTTTGTTTTGATCTTAATACTGCATTTTAGGAAGGATGTTGACATACTGGACATATAAGGGTAACAAAGATGAGAGCACTAAAAATTGTCATAGATCAATTAGAGTTAAAGATGACCCAGAGAAGAACTTGGGCTGTAATTGCTTGTCTTCAGATATTTGAAGGGTTGACTTGTAGAAGGTGATGTTTATTCAGCAGAGCTGTGGAAGGCAAATTTCAGCTCATTATGAAGAATTTTCTAATGATTAGAGCTGTCCGAAACTGGAAGGAGCTACTCCAGCATTAGTTAAAGTCCTACCACTGGAGGTCATCTAAATGTTAGCCTAATAATTACTAAAGTTTATATGCCATAGCTTAATAAAAATTACATCTATAAATCTTAGCAAGTTATAAAATCATCTTTTCTTAATTATAAATGGTGATTATGAAAACTGTTTATAGTTAATTATAAATGGTAATTATTTGGAGTTCCTAGAAATTGTAATTACTTCAAAAGAATATTCTACATATGTGGTATATTTTTTACCTATGGGGTAGAGGGGAATGTTTTGTACAAATGAAATAAGGTGCTAAAGAATCCCAGATATTGTAGTTTTCATTCAACAAATGTATGGAGTACTTACGTAGGGGAAGTATATCACACAGATCATACCATTAAGACATTGGAAATCTAGTTGGAGAGGTAATGTGATGATGTGAAAAATTGACAGTGCAAGAGTTGAATAATAGTTACATACTGGCTTGTAACATTTGTTTTCTTTGAGTGCCACATTTATGATTTTGGATTTAGAAGAGGTAGTATGGGACTAGAATGATCAGGGAAAGGCTTCATGGAAGAGGTAATAGTTAAGCATGGCATTCAAAGATTGAGACTAAAATTCATAGCAAAGTATTAAAATGATTTATAGGAAATGGTTTTTTCAGCCTAAACTACCTTAATATTTTCAGAAACTGTACAAATGTAAGTGTGTGTGTATGTGTGTGTGTGTGTATGTGTATACTTTGTTCTCCTTAAAGGTTTTTAATTTGACAATAAAATCACTGAATTCCCTTGAATGAGACTCAAGAAGAAACACTTATTACAGAATTCTGTCATTGAGGTCCCAGTGTGCTATAGAAATTTAGAGGTGAATAATCAGGAGATAGCATGGAGCAATGAAAAACATGCTAGACCTGGATTCAAATTCTGATTCTACTGCTGCTATTGTGAAGTGGGGCCAGCCAATCTTGACATCAGTTTTCTCATTTGTAAAATGAGAGAGTTGGACTACATGACTTTAAATACTTCTTCCAGCTCTAACTCTATGATCACAGGAGTTTGGACTTGAGATTGGAAGCTACTAAGCAGATATTCTAATATAGAATATTGAAGTTGGGGTCCTATAGAAGTGACTACTCCATCAATCAAACAGGCATTCATGAAATACCTACAGGGTGCTAGGCACTGTGCTAGGTGCTGAGGGGGATGGATATAAAAACAGATCTTCAGAGAACTTTAATTATTTCTCTCCTTTCCTTCTTTAATCATTTATTTAGCATAATTGATATCTAATGATTTGTGGGTTATAAAATCTAATACCTAACAGGTTCATCTTGTTAGCTAGTAAAATTAGCTCTATTGTAAAATGGGGCCTACTTTCATGTTTTGTATGACTCCCAAATTGGCTGATTCTTATTTAGAAAAAGGGTTTTATTGGCAATAGGACTTAAGAATAAAATTTTATTAGTACAATGGAAAATATTCAGGATATATATTTATTATAAAGTTAGAGTTGAGACTACTGTCATGATTTATTCAAGTGAAGAATGAAATGTGCTACTTTATTTCAGTGCATATATTCTTTTTCTAGGTTATCCAGTTTTTGAAAGCTGGAAAAGCTAAGGAAGTTTCCTATAATGCACTAGCTTCACATATAATTTCCGAAGATGGGGACAATCCAGAGGTTGGAGAAGCTCGAGAGGTCTTTGATCTCCCTGTAGTAAAGGTGAGTAGTAAATTCAATTTTTTATATTTATTTTACTGATGAATAATTTAGACAAATATATTATTCTTTTCAGCATCCTTGCAGTAGGACCAACCTTATATGTGACACCTTTTCGGTAATTAAACTTTGGTGGATAATGAATGACACAGTATACCAAATTCTGCTAGATGGAGGCAAGATCACTAACTTGGCTACAGTCAACTACAGGTTACTTTCGTTGTAGATTATATATAAGCTTTGGGAGCTCTGAAGTTGCCATGTCATAGTTTTATTCACTTTAATAGATGTTTGATAATAATAACTTAAATTTGTGTAGTTTTTTTTTAAACAACATCATGAATCATGTGGTTGTGGATATTCACATTTTACAGATAAGGAAAATAGCCTTGGAGAAGAGAAACAACGCAGCTAGTAAGTATTAGAAACAGGGTTTAAACTTGGGTGGCCTGACCTTCCAGAAGGGCACCTTTCATTATGATATGCTGCCTCTTTAACATGTTGGAGTGGGATTCAAGCCTGTGGCTAATAAAAAAAAAAACAACCCAACTATTGAATTTCAATTCTAGAGCCCTATTTAGCCATCTTGGCACACTCCATGCAAAGCAATCTTCCTGCTTTGTGCAGGACATTATGCTCTGCAATAGGAGAGATGCACAAGTTAAGTAGGATACTGTCCCTGGCCTCATGGAGTTCACCAGTCTTTTCATGAAACTCTTGGTGAACTGCAAAGAAACCTACTTTCTAAATCACTTTTAGATGAGAAAATAAAAATAACTCTTATTGTTTGCAGCTGAACCAAGCTGAAAATTTCGTTTGGTTCACCTTTTCTTTCCCCCTGGCTAGGAAATTTGTTATGCAAAGTGAACCTACAATCCAGAACCAGTTTGGATATTTTGGAATTATGTCATAAAACCTATCTTTGTTTTCATGGGCATAGTGCTTTACTGTTAGAAGGGAGGCTATCTCCTAGACTTTTAGGTGGAAGGAAAGGAATCTTTTAGCCTATTTTTAGCCTGCCTTCTTTTTGACTGAATCAGGATAATGGGATAAGAGGGAAATAATCCTAATTTGAAGGATGGGCAGAAGAGCACTTTGTGCCCCATCCGGTTTGGGGCATCACAGGTTTGACCTTGAGATTGGTGAGATACGCTTAACATAGGACATGATTTGCATTGTGACTTAGCTTATGATAAGAGTTCCTTGGGAATGAGTTGTAATATTGAGAATTTGGTTTAGAGACATTGCCCATGCTTTAAGCAGGTAGAAGTAGCTTATGGTTTTTCGTTATCTGTAGTCTGTGTGGCTCATTGACACAAATAACTGAGAATTGACTAGCTTTTTTTTTGTCTGTTTGTGGTATATTAAGTCAGCTAATAAGCATTTATTAAGGACCTACAGTGTTTATCCTGATGGTTTCATAAATGTTCTTCTTACCTTTGTTATTTTGCAGGGTTCTTTGAATAACAATTATAGGATAGCTATTTTTAAATTGTTTTAGGCTAATAGCTTTCTTTCTATCTTCATTTGATTTACACTGACTATCTTTCTCGGACCATACCTGGTATTTTTTGTTATCTTCTATTTATACTGTGAATAAACTTGTATGTACATAGTTGTTGGTATGCTTTCTCTCTAAGAATGTGAGCCCCTTGAGGGCAGGGACTGTTTTTGCCTTTTTTTGGATCTCCAGCACTTAGCGCAGTATCATGCTGAGTAAATGGTTAGTAAATGTTGATTGACATATCACTCCCGTCAAAATTTAATGGAAAGATTTCTAAGCTCTGTGTTCTAGTCGTAGTTCATCTACCAATTCTATGTCATTGGACAACAAACGTAATTTTCTCTGTAGAGTAGGAATTATGATAACAGGTCATGAAGTTAAAATGTGAGGGTATGAAACTACTTGAAAAATAGTAAAATTTATGACATTAATTTTTGCTTTGTGCTTAAGTTAATGAAAAGTTCTAAGTTGAAGGCACTACTTTTTATAAAAACTTAGTAAACAGTGTTTTAAAGTTAAGTCAACGAAGAAGTATTTTTTACTTAATAATCATTTGTATAATTTATATTTGATTCTACAAACTTAAAACTTTGAACTTTGTCTTCCAAGATTTCTACCAGCTAGCTTTTATCCCTCCTTCTTTTTATCCTGCTGTAACTTAGCCTTTCATGCTACTTGCCGTAATTTTTTTTCCCCTTCCATATTCGTCTTTGTCTAAATCATCTTAAGTACATAAAGTACAACTTTCTTTTTTGCTAAAGCTATTTGTTTTTAACCTATGAAGGATAGCTGCATTATGGGGAAATTGTACTGTGCTTATAAAGTGATGGTGAAAACTACAATAGCATGTAGTTGGACATCAAATTTTATCTTCCATATACATCATAGTTTCTGGTGACAGGCTTATTACTCTAAAAGCTCCTTGAGGAGAGGTATAATTTCCTGTTTTGTCTTTGTATCCTCTGTTCCTTTCAGCTAGTAGGCCCTTAATTATTTTTAGTCCAATCAATTAACCAACTTTTACAAAGTTCCTACTGTGTCAGGCACTGGGGAATAGAAAGACAAAAATGAAAATTCCCTGCCTTTTGTAAAGCACTTAACACTGTGTCTACCAGGTGCTATCTAAATGCTTATTTCTTTTCTTCTTTTGATAGCTTATCTTCTATTGAGAGACACCACTTACATAAAAAAGTGCATATAAAACCAGTACTGGAGAACTTTTAGAGGGGAAGCACCCACTGCTAGGGGTGGGTGGGGATCGGGAAAGGCCTCACGTAGAGTGACTCTTGAACTGAGCTTCAAAAGAGATTGGGGATTCTAAGGGGTGGAAGTGAGGAGGGAGGGCATTCCAGACCTGGAGGGCATAAAGAAAGGTAGATTGCAGCCAGATAGTGAAGAATTTTGAATGCTAAATAGAAGAATTTATATTTGATATTAGAAGTAATAAGGAACCAATGTGGTTTATTGAACAGAGGTGTGATGTGGTTGGTTGTGTACTTTCTGAATATCACTTTGGCGGTGGATAAGAGAGATTGAAGATGAGAGAGATAGTTCTTTGTTCTTTAGTCAGTTAGTTGTGTCTGACTCTTCGTGACCCCATTTGGAGTTTTCTTGCCAAAGATTCTGGAGTGATTTGTCATTTCCTTCTCCAGCTCATTTTATAGATGAGGAAACTGAGGCAAACCAGGGTTAAGTGACTTGCCAAGGACCACACTGCTAGTAAATGTCTGAGGCCAGATTTGAACTCAAGTCCTCCTGACTCTAGGGCCAACACTTTCTGTTGTGACACCTCGTTGTCCCACAGAGAAGGAACGTATGATTAAAGGAGAAGGCTCCAGAGAAGAAAGAAAGGGTTAAAATTCAGAGAATTTTGTTGTTGTTGTTGGTGTTTAACTGTGAGATAAGGCCCTCTACTTAAAGGGAAAGGGAGGTAGTAGGGGAGATAGTTTAGAACAAGTGGAATGTGGTAGGTTATCAATTGGCAAAGGATTGTTGAGCAGCAGTGAAGGCCCAGTTGAGGGCCTAGTCAGGCCTGAAAGAGACCAAAGAGAATTGACCAGTTATCAAGAAACAAATGGAAAATCTTTGAAAAAACCTTTTTGAAATCTGACTTAAATATGCTCCCTGGTCAACACTGTGACATTAAAAACTGCTTTTTGAATCTAACCTTTCTGCTACTTGTGCACATACAACATAAACTGGATATTGTATAATTATTATAAAGTGTTTCTTCAAAGAAAGATATTAATGACATGTAAGATTTTATTTTTGTTATAAATTACAAAAAGATTTTAATTGTATTAATTTTTCTTTTGTCTTTTTTATCTTTTAGCCTTCCTGGGTGATTTTATCCGTTCGATGTGGAGCTCTTCTGCCGTATCCTTTTAGGGGACAATGGAGTAAACATATTAAAATCGAGATTATAATAAATTCTTGATTAATAGCCGCAGGTAGACTGTTTAGTTTGGAATTAACTTCCACTTTTCCACTCCATCTCCTATATTACCCATCCCATGTGAAAATAGTCGTTGCTTAGTGGTCACTACTAACTTAAGTAGGAGACAAAGGAAAACAAAATGAAACTAGATCACTGATTATTTACAGCTTTTATGGAAGATTAGGTTGTGGTAGAGAAGATGAAAAATAGTTGAAGCTGGATTTGGGGGATATGTTCAATTTTGTTATATGCCACCTTTTAGTTATATTAGCCAAAAGATTTACAATAGTGATTTAAATGCTAAAATTTTGTCTTTCATTTCTTCCATAATTTTGAAAGAATTTCAACTAACTTTTCTCTTGTCTTATAACATGGAAGCTGGTATTGGTGGTGTCTTTTTTATAGTAAAAATGGATTTTGTTAATATTTCCTACAGAATTCCCAATGATATTTCTAGTTCTTGCTATGTCATTTTCAACATACATCTTCATTGCCTAAAAGGGAACCAAATCTTCAGTCCGTTGCCTCCTCTCCTTACATGACTCTGTCCAGATTTAACTTCCTTTAGCATCATGTTTCTTAATTCAGTTAGCTCCTACTTCTCTCTCCTGTTCTGTTCCTAATCTTTCTTGTGATCCTTATCCTACTCCTTCCTTGTATCTCCCCCAGATCTGATTGTAAATCTGTTCTTGATGCTTCCTTTTTTAGTACATGAATATCCTTAAAAGAAAATCTACTATATGAAAATTTCCACAAAGCAAAATAAGGTATAGAAAAGATTATTTGAAAGAAGTGTCTTATACTGTATAGAAGACATAAAGTCAAAGATGCTTAACTAGAAGATGTTTAAAGAGATCATCTGATCTACCATCTCCCACCATTTTAAAGACTTGAGTATCCTCTCCGTGATATAGATGAGGGAAATGAGTCTGAGAAAGATTGTGCCTTCCTCAAATTATAGATCATAGACTTTTAGAGCTTAAAGGAAGCTTAAGTGATCTTGGGGTCTAACTCTGTCATTTTAGAAATGTGCCAGACTGCTCATTTAAATGCATTCTGTAGTTCACTGCAGTATCATAGAGTTAGCTTTCATGTGTAAATAATTCTTATAGAACATTTGAGAGGCAGCTTTATGTCCTAGTTACATGTACTGTATACGCCACTGGACTTGCAATCAGGAAAGCCTGAGTTCAAATCTGGCCTCAGATACTTAGTAGCTTTGTGACTCTGGGCAAGCCCTTTACACGTCTCAGTTTCATCATCTGGTAAGTGAAGGGATTGGACTTGACAGTCTTAGAGGTCCATTCTAGCTCCAAGTCCATGATCCGATGATTTAAGATCGACAAAGCAAACGCATCCTTGAAAGCAGCACTTCTTAATGTCATTGTGCCCGAATAGGAAGCATAGTGGGAGAGCTCCAGTCCAGGAATGAGGGTCCTAACCCTTGATTTGCCACTGGTTAACTATGTGGCAGTGGGCAATTAACAGGTGCTTACGGTGTTCAGAGCTGGGAGTACAAAGAGAACAGTCAGACTGTCTCTGCCCTCAAGAATTCAGGCAGTGGAGATACTAGCATTTTGGTAAATATAGATTTGGTAAATGGGTGGCGCTTGAAGGAAAGTAGGGATTCTGAGGGGCAGAGGCAAGGTAAGACAACATTCCAGGCATGGTTTAACCATGTCAGTACTAAGATGAGATTGAGTATTGTGTTTGAGGGACAGCAAGTATGTAGTTGTGATTGGACCATATCCGTGTGGATTAGACTTCACGTCTATGAAGTGAAGCAATTGGTATGGTCCTCTTTTTAAGATTCTTTCTGTAGAAGGATTTTATAATTATGTGGCTTAAAGAATCACATGAGAGAGTGTTTGTTTGGAAGTGTTGTAGTGCCCTGTGCTGCTGCTTTTTTTTTTTAAGTTATCCAGAAATCACTTGGACTAATAAGTTATTTCCCTCGAACCAATTTCAGTAATGGCTATATTTCTCATGGAGACTGTTGACGAAATAAGAGATCTCCAGACTATTTGCTGTGCCAAGGATTTGCTTCTGATAGTATTTAGACTCCTTTGATTTCTGAATCTGTGGAAGGAAACAAAATCTCTTGAACTGCTATATTGTAGGGGTCAGATCTTTGGTATATGGAACTAGAATGTATCAATTTCAGGTCTACCAAAGTCACTTCAGCCAGGAATGGAATTGTTCAAAGCTGTATGTCTTGCCTTTGGGTCACCTACTATTTTTCACAAGAGGTCTAGAAATTGAAACAAAAGAGCCTAAAATCTCAATCTTGTTTCTTGTCTGTCTATATCAAAATAAAGATTAGTTACTTTTCTCCCTGGTGAAAGAGAATACATTTCAAAAATTGTCCTTTTAAAATTAGAGATGCAACATTATTATGAAAAGCAATTAATTTTTCTTGAGTATAATTTTAGGAAGGTATCTTTAGAGGTTTAGTTCACCCCCTTCAATTTATATATTAGGAAATGAGTCATGTGACACTAAAAGTCACACGGCTATTTAATAGTAGATTTCAGAATAGAACCCTGGTCTCTTGGTATGTAGTCCAATACCCTTTTTACTAAACTATATGAATAGGAATATTTTTGTTCCCCTGTCAAAATCTGTTCCATTTAACATGTCCTTTAAAAAACTGCCATAGTCTCAGGTTTGAAAAAGTAAGTATGTACTTATTTATGTGTGTATATTGTTGGGATTAAATTTATTCCCATGGCTGTATAATTCAATTTTTATAGCAGATAGGAAAGTGGTTCAGTTTTTGTAATTTGTGTTACAGCTAATTTAATTAGCTCATAAAATGAGGGAATCTTAGGTCTGCCCCCTCTCCCACCTACCTCCACCTTCTGCTTTCTCTTTAGTGTACACACTTCTGCTCTTTCTCATGTTTATTTACTCTAGTACTCGAGTCCACTGTATCTAAATACTCCTTTTTGCTCACCCTCAACCTGTTTCTTCCATAAAGACATTTTAGGGATGATTTTTTCTTGAAAGGGGAAGGAGAAAATATTCAAACATTGGATGCTTGAGATTCTAAACATACAATGGTTTTGTTGCATTGTTAATCTTAATAGCTGTTATCCAGAGTGAATGGTTTTTCTCCAGAATCTTGTCAGATCTTTTTTGGAGTCACTGCCTGCCTTTCTCAGGTAAGCATCATTTTGAATGGTTATGATAACTTATAATCCTAATTTCACACATTTCCAAGGATTTTTTTTTACATGTTTGGGATTATAAAAATCCAAAAAATTTTAGGGAAGGTATTAAATTGAATATTTAATATAGATTTGCTAAACATTTTAAGTCATGAATAAATGGTTATTTTTAGCATCAAATATATTTTTTGCTGGGTGGAAGGTTTTTTTAGACGGGGATTATTATTCTAGGTTGAATAACTGAATAGATAAATTTATTATTGATTATTTGAAAGTGATGCATAATTCAGGCTACAAAGCCAGCCATTTGGAATTTAGGGGAACTTTTTAGTCCTAGTTCTAAACTCTCACCTTGTTATTCTGAAAATATTTTTATAATAGTGTTTAATAAATATAGAAGAGCTGGGAATAGAATTTGGACTTTTCATCTTTATTTTGTAATGAGATTAGGGGTGTATAAAAAGTAGGTTTGGTTACTGATTATATTCAGCTCCTTGTATTTGCTTAGCTTTTGTTAAAAGAAATGAATAAAAGAATAAAAAGAAATTCTTAAATCCAGGCAGGAATAAATTTAGTTACTATTAGTGTGATTTGATAATTTTGTTCTAAAAACCCAAAGTTCTTTTAAAAGATGGAATCCTTCCCCCCCCCCTTCAAGTAGCTCCTGAGAACATTAATTTTGAAAATACAGATAATAGCCCTGATCCACACATAATGAGTTACTTGGGGGGAGGGGAGGAGAGTCTTTGATCCATGGGACAATTTCATTTTCTTTTAAGAATAATTAGTCTGCCTTTTAAACAACAAAATATGTGAGCTATTTTCATTTTACAATTGAGTTTAAATCCTGTCTGTATTCTCTTTGGAGCCTGGCAGCCACTTAACCTGTCTGACCTTTGGTTTCCTTATCTTTTAAATGAAGAAGTTGAACAAGATGATTTCTAAAGCCTTTTCCAGTACTAAATAGATGGGTATAGGATTATATCAACTCTTAAAATGTCTGTAACACCTTATTAGTTGTTCCCTCTTTGTTTTCCTTTGTCCATTTGTCTATATTTGTGTATGCATTTCCCCTTTTATATTGTAATCTCTGTATATATTGTTTTGTTTCTGTTTATGCTCTTAGAATCTGGTATGATTATTTTTTTTAAATCCGTTGTGTTTTCAGTTTGTTTTTGGAAAAAATCTCACCAATTTGCAGTTTTGCTGGTATATGCTAGTGTTTTGGTTTTTTTTTTTCCTAGCCTAAACAATATTAAATTGTGGGTTTTTTTGGGGGGTTTTGTGTTTGTTTTTGTTTTTGGCTTTTTTGGTGAGGCAGTCAGGATTAAGTGACTTGCCCAGGGTCACACAGCTAGTAGGTGTCAAGTGTCTGAGGCTGGATTTGATCTCAGGTCCTCCTGACTCCAAGGCCCGAGCTCTATCCACTGCACCACATAGCTGTCCCTGGGCATTTAAGAATAAAAGACTGTCTAATATATGAAAATTTTGTTTAAGTGTCAAAGTTGATATGATTTTCATTTGTATAGGTGATGAAATTATTTAAAAGTGGCCATTTTGAAAACTTTAGAATATGGTATTAAAAATAGATAAAATGTGTATTTTTACTGATATGTAGTCTTTGCATTTATTGAGTTATTTCTAATGCAGTAAATTAGATATCTAAATTCTAGATTCAGAAGTTCATCAGTCCAGAGAAGAGAGATTGAGATTGAATATACTTAGTGGAGTCTGGGTCAGGGAGTTAGGTCAATATGATCAGGATGAAAAGTCTAATATTGTCATGGAGAAACTGAAGGTATATCAATCAAGAAATATTTCTTGAACATCTACTTTGTGTTTTCTTAATGTGTTAGGCTCTGAGGGGGAAGGATGTATACCAAATCCTAAGAGTCAGGATTTACAAGGGCCTTTGTAGGTGAGAATGGGCTGTACCAACAATAATTTATTTTATACATTTACTCCTGATAAATTTCAGTCTTGCATTTGTTTTAAAAATCATTTATAAGATTATAAAATATGCCAGACATGGTTTAATAGTCATATGAAGATCTGGGAAGTTTAGTATGCTCTAGGTTCTGGGCTAGTGTATTATGTAATAAGTGTTAAGAAAAAGTTTTTGTAATTATAAGCTATATTTCTAGAAATAGACAGTCAAGATCCAGAAAAATAATGGTCATGTTACATACAGTTTGTGCTCTCACCTGGAGTAGTGTATTCCACTCTAGACACTGCATTTTAAGAGAAATTGACAAATGGTTGTGCTTTTAGAAGGTGAGCAAGATGGTGAAAAGTCTAGAAACCATGTCAGATAAAGATTCATTGAGGGAAGTAGGGATTTTAGCTTGAAGAGAATGTTCAGGAGAAATTTATTAGTTGTCTCTTAATATTTGAAGGGTATCTTGTAGAAGAAGTAATAAACTGATTATAATTATATGTTGTTCCAGGGGTTAGATCTAGGACCATTTGAATAGAGGTAATAGGGAAACAGGTTTCTTATCAGCTTTAAGGAAGAACTTTCTAGTAATTAAGTTGTCCTACAATAAAATGGGCTTTCTCAAAAAACAGTAAAACTGTTGTCAGTGGCTTGGATATGGCCCAGGGGAGTGAGAAATGTCATCTTCCTTTCAGTGAATTTTGAGTATTAAAAGAATAAGAATAGATAAAAATTTGTCTAGGATAAAAGACAGTTTGTCTTCAGTGAATTAGGATTTCACCAAGATATACAGGAAGAGAGCAAGAAACCTGGGGAAAGCTGAAGGGGTAAATAAGACATGTTATGGGATAGGGTGGATGTGGAGGGAAGTATGTGTAAGAAGTAAGTTCTGAATGAAGCTTACGGAGAGCAGAAATAAAGGAAGCTTTTTGGTGTTAGAAGTTCAGGAGAAAAGTGAAGCAGCAAGGAGTTGGGGGAACCAGGGTCACTAAGGATAATTGGAGGAAAATATTTAAGCACACGGATACTTAGACACACCACAAGTCCATCAGGCCATACCCCAACTAACAAATGGAATGTTTGTTTGGCAGTACTTAGAAATTGTTTTTTCGTTTGTTCCTGTTTCCTCTTTTCTCTTCCCCCCACGAGGATGGTCATTGTGTGAAATTTTTGACATTTTCCAGGGAAGTGGAGAATGGAAAAGAGGAAGAGGAGGAGGTCCCAAAGGAACAGTTTTTTGCTCCCCAGTGAAAGTTTGAAGATGATTTTGCCTTCTCTGTTCTGGTGTTGATGTTCTAAAATGTGCTGAGTTGAGTAACAAGCTAGATTAGGACCTTAAATAAGCTATAGAAGATTAAAAGCAATTCTGCCTTCCATGTCTTTGTGTATCTCAAGTGTTTCTTGACTTCCTACCAGTGTCCTGGACTGTGCTAGTTAGGCACTTTGGGAAGTATTTTTTTAAAAAATCTTTCGTATTCTTGTGGGATAAATGATTTAGAAAGAATAACCTAATGTACAATGAAGAGTGTGTGGTACATACAATGTGTATGACAAAAGGCCAGAGAAAGGAAATATTGGGAGCTAGAAGGACCAAGATGTTCCAGGCAGAGAGTATCGTGAAACTAGTATGTGGGGAGTACAGTGGAAAAAAGGAGATAGTAGTCGGGTCAGGTAGTGGCAGATTATAGAGGACCTTAAAAATTAGATTGAGGAATCTGAATTTGATCTGATAAACTTTAGGGAGAGGCATTGTAGGTTTCTGAGTAGAGGAGTGACAAGTGCTGTTTTTATGAAGGTTAATTTGGTAGTGGTGTTTATGGTGAACTGAAGGGAGGAGGACATTAGCTTTAGACAGGCTAAGATAATTCATGTGAGAAGTTGAAGGCTTGGACAAGGGTAGAACATAGGGGAGATAAAGGAAAAAATGATGAATTTGAAGGGAAAAACTGAAACAACCTCCTGCCCATTCCCTGACAGCAGACTACTTCACCTCTTATTTCACTGAAAAGAAAAGACTACCTGTCCTTTCCCCTACCCTATACTTCATAACTTCTTCACATTGTCCCCCATTCTCTTTATTCCAGACCTTGGAAAAGCAGTTGCCCTTCTTTTTGTTAAGAACAGACCCTCTCCTTGTGCTTTTGATCCTGTCTTGGCTACTTTGGGATGTCGATTGTCAGTATATGCCCCCTCTTGTCAGTTCTTCTTACTCACTGCCTCTTTCCTTGCTGCTTAAAACATATGGTTTCCCCATCCTTAAAAAAACGTTGACTTGACCGTGCCATCTCCTCAAGTTAGCATTCTGTGTTTCTTCTCTCTTTCGCAGCTAAACCCTTAGAAAGAATCTCATGTTAACTCAAATACTCTTGTCATCTGTGCTGTTCTCTCTCTTCTCAGCCTCTTGCAGTATGGCTTCTGATCTTACCATGTTGCTACTGAGTACTCCCTAGTGATTTCTTAACTGTTCAATCTGATGGCCCTTTTCCGTCATAAGCCTGCTTGACCTCTTTTTGCTTTTGCACTTCTCTCTCCTGGTTTTCTTCCTACCTATCTGACCTCTTTTCAGTCTCTTTTGCTGGATCATTATTCTTTTCCTCACTGTGTGGATATTCCCTAAGATTCTCTCAAGGACTCTCTTCTCTTCTGATACTCTTAAATGAACTTAAATGATTTATCTCCTTGTAGATGATTCCCAAATCCATATATCCAACCCTGACTTCTATCTTGAACTTCAGTCCCACATTGATAATATTTTTGAGCATCTCCAACAGGAAATTTCAAACTCAACATGACAAAAATAAATCTCGTTGTTTTTTCTAACCCTCCCATCGAGGATATCACCATTCTTCCATTTACCTAGGTTTGTAACCTTAGAGTTATCCTTTACTACATGGTGTCTCCAAAGACTTAGTGCCATTTTAAACAGTTAAATCTAAAAACTGCACTAAGATTTTTGGAACACCATGTATCCCACCCCAATTAAATCAGTAACCAACTCATATTAATTCTACCCTTAGAGCATTTCTCATGGCCACTGCGTTAGTTAGAGCCTTCTTTATCTCTCTTGGACTATTTTCAATACCCTAATTGACCTCCCAATATTTACTCTCTTCCCTCTTCAACACACAATTCTGACAAAATAATTACTGAGGTACAGGTCTGATCATTTCATCCTTATGCTAAGAAAACTTTAGTGACTATTGATGCTAGAATAAAGTAAAAATTTAACTTTCCATTTAAAGCCTTGCTCAGTCTGAAATCCACCTACTTTTACGCATTTAATGTTATTCCTTTTACACATTTTACACTTGAGTCAAACTGAGCTGTCTCCAGGCCCCTTCTCAGTGCTTTTGCACGGTGTCCCTCCTATGCTTGGAATACATTCCCTCATCTCTTCCTGTTAAGATCCCTAGTTCCCTTTAAGGCCCAGCTTTTATGTTATATATAGTTCAAAAATATTTTAAGGCTCTGCTGTACCTCACCCTACTCTACCATTTAGTGCTGAATTCCTTCTGACATTACTATGTATTTAGTTATTTGAGTATGTGTTATGTATCACCAGGAGAATATAAGCTCTGTATGGACATCAACTGTTTTAGCTTTGACTTTGAATCCCCAGCATGTAGCATAGTGCTTTGCAATACAGAATAGGAGCTTAATAAGTGTATATTTAATTGAACTCCTCATCAGTAGTAGAGCTAGAATTAAGTAGCTAGCTAATGGTAATATCCTAGTTCAGAGCTACACTAGAATTCAGGTTTCCAGCACTCTTTCCATTGTACCATGTATGATATGAAGAAATTCCTTTAAAGTGTGTTTTGGTTGCAAAAGTGACATCCGAATTGCAGGATAGTAGTTACTTTATTTTCAAACTTTCTGTATGCAGTCTTGATTTGGCATATGTTTGTGTGTCCTGGCTCCACTCATAACTTGTGATATGAACTTGAGCTAATTGCTTCCTTTTCTTGACCTCAGTTTTCCCACCTGTAAAATGAGGATGTTAAAATTTTCAGAGCTAGCCAGTCATTTAGTCCAGGTTTTCATAATATAACATTCTGTAGTATCTATAACACTTTCAAAAGGCAAATTAATAAAGACAACATTCAGTTCAATAAGGATTATTTTATTACATAATTTATATATTATTTTTGTTGGTATAATAAGATGTGCAAAATGGTAGCATAATGTACCATTTTAAATTAAGGTTATCTTCGAAAATCATTAAAAAAACAATATTAGACATTCCTTGATTTTTGAGCAAGGTAGTTACGTTAAGTATGTTTTTTCTAAATTTTGTTATTAGTACTTTTCTTTGTAATTATTTAACATTTAAATGAAATAATATGAACAAAAGGATAAGGCAGAAGGATTTTCCTGCTGCATGGTAACAATTCTACTATGAGTACCAGGAGTTGTAAAATGAGCTTTCTTGATTAAGAAATGAGATTTAAAGGCAACTATTATTGGAAAAGCAGAAAGAGCAAATCAAGTTTTTAAGAATGTGGAGAAATTCAGTGGATGATTTAACTGTTAAGGTAGGTATATTTAGATTTTAAGATGTTCATGCAAGTGGATTTGTTTGTGGTTATATTCATTTTGAAAGTGGAGCGTATGTATTTTACACATAAGTTTTAGAAGTGTGGAAGTTGAATTCAGATTTATGAAAAATATATACCATCAGTTAATTTCTATTCCTTCATTGACATTTTGTTCACTAGTGGTCTAAATATTTTCTCCCATCAACTCTCATACTTTTTATAAACATTTGAAGGACTCATTTCATGCTTCAATTTATTTTTATTAATTTTGTGAAGACAATGGTAGTTGTGTAAATATGGTAGGAGAGGGTAGTCTCATTGCTTATTTCCTACTGTCAATTTCTCAAACAAGATTGGATTAATACTTTTGTCAGAGCCTGTTGCTGCAGCTTACAGATATTTTCTGGTTACAGATATTTTTTGGTCACTTAATATTTAACTGTAAATATATACTTCAGTTAAGTTAATTTGAGAATGATTATATAATTTAAAGAATCTTCCAATTGAAATAAACCCTTTTAGAATATTTTCATTATTAATGTCAGGAAAACATTTTCCTATTTACCTTTTAGGTTAGCAAGGAAGGAAAGTGTGTATTTTGAAAGAGATAGTGTTTCATAGTGTTTTAACACATACGTAAAAAAAAAAGCATGATATCTAAAGAAAAAAAGTACATTACATAGCTCTAAAAGTTTTGTTTTTAACTTTCTATTAGATTTCATCTGAAGACCGAAGTGCGCTGTGGGCTTTGATTACGTTTTATGGGGGGGATTGCCAGCTGAGCCTCAATAAGAAGTGTACTCATTTGATTGTACCAGAACCAAAGGGGGTAAGAGTCTTCCATGTACAATCCTTTTTTATATAGCACTGAGTATTCCTAAATACTTTTTTTCCTCTTTGAAGGTTGTCTTCGATTGTTCATTAGACTCAGCTGATGATTGCATTTACATCTTTCATATTTTTTAAATTGTTACTGATACTTTTGAGCTTTTGAACATTTCCAAAAACATTTTAGCTTTTATTACTTTTGCATCTTTACATTTTTAATTTAAGTAGTTTGAGTTATGTATTATAGTATTTCATTATTTAGTCAGTGTGAATCTTTGCTTTACAAATCTCTGGTTCAAAATAATTATTGTACACATGCATTGTCTTCTGGGGGTGAGAGACACAATTTTTAGCAACACATGAACAAAAATTATTCTGTCTGTTGAATCATTTAAAAAGGTCCTAACATGATTATTAAATGGAGTTTTCATATTTTCTTATTAATGATCTATAATAGGTAACTCATAAATATTGAGAGTATTTAAGAAAAGCTTGTTTTTCAGAGTTTTTATATTTTAAAGTTCATCTTTAATAAAACAATCTTTTAAAAAATTTCAGTTAATGACTTTTTGGTGATTTTCACAAAAGATATTTTGCTGTGATGAAGTTGAAACTGATTTGTATGTATTCTTGGAATGAATTATATTGTCTTTTCCTTTTCCTTTTCCTTGATTCTGTATCCTAGAGAATTGTGACTTTTTAGCATGTTCTTTTTGTTATATTGCTTATTCTCCAATGATGACAAAAAAAATGTAGGAGAATATATAGGATTTAATGAATGGATTGAATGAAAAAAAAACATTTACTTAGCACTTAATATGTGCAGAGCACTGTACTCTAATAAGGGTATTGCTGTCTCTCAAACTGGTGTGACTTATTCCACTGCCTGTGGTTTCAGAAAAGGCATCATACTATATCAGATGGCTGGAAGGCCCTGGTTTGAATTCCTCTAGCTTGATTGTTTCTGAGCTAGGTGACTTTTGGCAAATCACTTTATTCTTCATGGTCTGCTTCCTCATGTAAAGTGAGATGGGTGAACATGATGATCCGGGAGGCCCCTTTCAATTAATTTTACAAATATTTACCTTAGGCTTTGAACTTGGTTTTTATTCATTTTACCTTAACTCAGTATGATTATTTTTCTTAACTTCTTTTGAATCAAATCCAAATGTATATATTTTCACATCAAAAGTAGTGAACTCTTCAGGAGAGGAATTGAATAGTGGTAAATGAATGCACTGAACTTGAGTTTGAAATTTGACTTGAGTTCAATCCTATTATTATCAGATCTTTTTGGTTTTGGTATTTCTAACTGATTCATCACCTAAGGAATAATAACACTGTTGTTTTTTGATTCTGCAACACTCCTTCTCTCACCCCAACTCCCAGTAGTGTTTGCTATGCACTGTAGGACACAAATTCATTTAAGAATTGATTGAAGTAGAATTAATTTTATTTTGAGCTATTTGAAGTGGTCCCTGGAATCACTAAATATTAGTGGTTACTGCCCTAACTAGTGGTAATGAAGTTATTAATAAGCATCTGCTTTAATTTCAACACATGATTTGTTAAGTGCCTTCTGTGTAAAAGGTGCTGGTGCTAGCACAGCTTGTACACAAATAGATAAAACAAGGTAATCTGAGGAGGAAGAGAGCAACGGGGAGAGCAGGGAAGGCTACACAGAGGAAGTAGTGCTGAATCTTCGAAGGAAAGGAACATTGGAGTTTAGGATCATAGGCTCCTTGCAAATGCATGACATCATCTTGTCCAGTGCCTTCACTTTATAGATAAGGAAACAGTGCCCCAGCAGGTTGAGTGTTGGGCCCAAGGTCACACAGCTGGTGAGAGGCAAGTTGGACCCTTCTTCTTCAACTGTGGTAAAGGGCTGCATATATCAATTGTTGAGTCGTTTGCACAGAGCTAATTTAATTCTTGGGGACTGATGAGATTATCTTGCATAGGGAACCCTTTGGTAGTATGGTGAATACTATAGATCCCTTCTCAGAATAGTATCTTTAAATCAATAAAATAAAATTTGTAGACTTACAAAAGAAGCCAACTGTATTGAAGTACAATTACCAAAATATTTTTTAAAATGTTCTCACCTGTTCCTCTTCCATTTACAGAGTATATTTTGAGAGAAGACAAGTAGCCCCAGGACCAGAGCTTCAGGAGATGCCCATACTTAGGGGACTGGAGATGATCTAATAAAGGATATGGAGAAAGAACAGATTAAAAAAAAATCTAGGAGATAGCAGTATCACAGAAGAGAAAAAAGAGAAGATATCTAGGAGGAATGTGGTGATTAATTGTGTCAAAAGCAGCAAAGAAGTCACTGAAGATGAAAACTGAGAAAAGATTATCAATTTTTAACAATTACTAGATCATTGATAACCTTAGGGAGCAGGTTCAGTATAGTGAGTCAGAGCCCACTCTTCTACAAAGGTTTAAGAGATGGAAATGACAGTGAGTGTCATCAGCCTATTTATATAGCACTTTATGGGTTTGCAAAACACACTCCTGACAACAGTCCTCTGAGATAGGTATTACAAGTATTATAATTTCTTATAGATGAGGATAATTGAGGCTCAGACAGATTAAGATTTGCTCATGTTCACTTATCTGATAGATGTCAGGTGGAATTCATGTCTTGGTCTCCTGACCCTAAGATAACACTTTGTTTGTAAAAAAGGTTATAGAGTACTTTTTAAGATTTACAAGATGCCTTACAATACAGAATAGGCTCATATGAAGATTTCTTTATAGTAGGACATTTGTAGGCCAAGAGATTGGAAGAGAGTCAGGTTGAGAGAAGGTAGGAATGATTGATGGAAGAACATGGAATCAAGGGCACAAGTAGAAGGCAGAAAGTTAGCTTTGGCAGGGAGGAAGATCACTTTTTCTCAGAGACTGGAGCAAAGAATGAGAGGATGAGTAAAGATGATGTAGAATTTTAAGGTTTGGAGTAGTAGAAAAGAGGGAGTTTATTGTGAATGACCTTGGTTTTTCTCAAATTGGGAGGCAAATTCATTTGCAGAGGGAAAGGAGTGGGAAGGAGCACTGGAAACTTAAGAGATTTGTAATAACTACTTTGGGATCATTATAGAGAAGCCCCTTGGCAAGTTTTTAGACTAAACTACCAAGAAGCAGTGAGTGCTGATTTTGCATTTTAAAAACCATCTATTTGAAGTTGATCTAGTCTGTACAGTTGTAGGATTCCTCTAATACCTTTCAGCACTTAAAAAGGCAGGTGGTCAGGCTGACAGCATAAGGAGAAGGGAGCAAAGTAATAAAGGGTGGAGGACAAATACAGGGTGACCCAAAAATCTTGGTGCAATTTTAAGCTGTTAAAGATTAAAAGCTTTATTACTAGCTGTTATAATAATTATCAAACTATTAAAACTTAAAACTGCATTAAGATTTTTGAGGCTCCCTATATATACTGTATCCTGTACTGATTTAATAATACAATCAAGTCTGAGAAAAAAGTGAGAATAGAGCAGGAGTGGTGCACAGGGGATCAGGGATTGGGGGAAAGGTAGAGAGAATAAGTTGTAATAAAGAAAAGAGGTCTCAAATAATTATTTTGGTGCTGTAAGCCCCAGGGAGAGATGGAAGCATTGGGAATGATTTTATCAAAGAGGATAATTTTAGAGTTCAAGGGCATGGAATAATTTGGGATGGTGGTAAGGTTTAAGGTATTCACATTTTTGTGGGGGATGCTAAGGTAGGATGGAATGGTGGTCATGGGAGGTAAGGAAGTCAGTAAACTGGGAGGTCAAGGATATATAGTTATAAAGAGCAGAACTGAGACAGTATTAAACCTGAGAAAAGAGCAGTCACAGATTTTGAACTGGAATGAATCTAGCCTAACTCTCATTTTACTGAAGGAAACTGAAGCCCAGAGAAAGAAATGTTACTTGAACCTGCTCATGAGAGCAAGGTCTATGCTGTTTTTATTTTTGTGTCCCAGCACCTAGAGCCTTTGTACAAAATGGATGTTTTATAAATGTTTGAATGAAATTTAATTGTCCATGGACTTCATAGCTGGATTCCAAACCAGCTGTTATTTTTAATTTTAAGTTTTGTTACATTTTCAGTTAATAAACATGTTGTCTCTTTGCTGTATTCCCTACCCCCAAATTGAAAAGAAAGAAAACAAGATCCATGTAATGAATACACATAGTCAAACAAAACAAATACCCACATTGCCCGTGCTCAAAGATGTCGCATTCTGCACAACCTAAGTCCTCTGTATTAGGAGATGGACAGCATTCTTCATCGTGGATTTTCAGGAATTGTGTTTGGTCACGGCATTTATCAGGAAGAAATGAAGGAAAGGAATAAGCATTTATATAGTGCTTATATATTTTATGTAATGTACTAATGAGCATTTTACAAATATTTCATTTGATCCTTGAAATAATCTTTGAAATAGGTGTTGTTACTATTCTCATTTTATAGTTGAGGAAACTGAGGCACAGGAAAGTTAAATGACTTGCCCAGGATCACAGAACTAGTAAGTGTTTAAAGTCACATTTGAACTCAGATCTTCCTGACTCCAAGCCTGGACTAGCAGTCTATCCACTGTGCCACCTAGCTGATCAGATAATTCTTAAGTCTTTCAAAATTGTTTGTCTTTACAAGGTTGTTATTGCATAAATTATTCTGGCTCTATTCACTTAACTCTGCATCAGTTCATACAAATCTTCCCATGTTTCTCTGAGGTTGTGCCCTTTGTTGTGTTTTGTGGCATGCTAGTATTCCATTACATTCTTGTGCCATGATTTTTTCAACCATTCCTCAATTGATGAGCATACTGTTTACTTTCCAATTCCTTGGCATTATAAATAGAGCTGCTGTAAGTATTTTTGTGCATATGCATCCTTGTGCTATTTTTTTTGATGTCTTTGGGTTATAGGCCAAATAGTGGTATTGCTTTGTCAAAGGATTGTCATAGTTTAGTGACTTTTGAGGTTCAATTCCAATTGACCTTTTTTT